AAGAGCGTCTTGTCCTCGAGCTTCACGTCAAGTGGGGAAACAGGTCTGAAGAATCTATCTATATAAAAAGAACAAACCCAAGACTCGTTAATCAATCATTTGATGCTATAACAACAATTCACATATGCAGGTGGTCAAAAATCGCCCGGAAATTGCCGGGACGAACAGATAACGAGATAAAGAACTACTGGAGGACCCATATGAGGAAAAAGGCTCAAGAGAAGAAGCGTTCCATGTCCCGAACCTCATCATCTTCCAACTGTTGCTCATCAACAGCTACCACTGCTACTACTCAAGACTCGTTGCAGTCGCCGGATTCTGGTTCTGGAAAGGCTAGCTTTTACGACACTGGTGGCTTTGACGGAAAGCTGAATCAAGAAGTGGAAGATTGTGAAGGAGGATACTCTATGGATGACATATGGAAAGAAATTGATCAGTCTGAAGCAAGCATCCTTAAACCGGTAATAGATATCTACGCAGAACAAAGTTGTTACTTGAATTACCCTCCTCTGGCTTCTCCAGCATGGGAGAGCTCCTTGGATTCTATATGGAACATGGAAGCAGATGAAAGTAAGATGTCCTTTGCCATTGACCAGTTTCCTCACTATTCTGGATACGTCCGATCATCATCATCGTCACCATCATCATCCTTAGCAGGCTAATTAGGATTTTATTCATTTAAAAATTTGTTTATATGAATATAAGATAACGGTAATAGCTTCCATACCAAAAACCCACTGTAACCATCTCATCTATAGTCAGCCTATGTGTCTGTGTTTGCTCTGATATGTTTGCTTTCTAGAGTGAATGGAAAGAATTCCTGTCCAGTTCTCTTTTCCACAAAAGAGAAGCTATGTTTATGAATACTAATGTGTAATACAAGTTAGACTTCTCAGCTTAATCTATCATTCCCCTCAGTTTTGAAGTTGTTGATATGATACCCATAACTAGAGAAGAAAAAAGGATGGTTTTTTTGGGTAACCGGATGTCTGGACCGAGGTCCAAACTAATCCTGAAGGCGGAAGCAAACTATGAGATTGAAATTATTCTCCCCTCCCCAACTTGAGGCTCGAATTCGGGTGGAATAGACACTTTGTATCCCGTCTCACCGGTTGAACCATCCAAGTTGGGTAAAAAGGATGGTTGTTGATATGATTCAAAACGAATGACTTGAAGCGTTTACATATTCACCTCCTAATGATCGAGAGAATAGGGTTGACTTGTAAAGCTTAACCAAGTGGGAAACCTACTTTCTGAAAGGGAATGTATTCTTATGCTTTCTTATTATGTGATTAGTATTTAAGAAATTGCTTAGAGATATGGTTTTCATGAAAGCTCAATCCCACTCTTTGTAGTAATAAGCCCATCTTTTTATTCTTTTATTTATATTGTGATGCGCTACGACTCTGCAGCTTCAATGGTCCAACTTGAGAACAATGGCTACCCAGAAACAAGTAAACAATCATTTGCCAAAAGTAAGAAGAGTGGCCCAATGACAGAACATAACAGAAGAAGCAAATTGGAACAAGAAACTCCAAAGAATTTGCTACTTCTGACCCACACACAATCTCTGTTTTATTTTCTCTCTCTATCAGTGACATGTTACCCGAATTCACCTATGCCATAATGCCATATGCATAAACGGATCCATCTGTGACTAAGGGACACGTGTTTCTGGTTCGAAATTTTCAATATTTTGTTTTTGAAATTTTAATGTTTTTTTATGATAGTTGGCACAAAAAAAAATATTTTGGTGATTAGAGAATGCTAACCAAAGCATATCTTTCTTCATGGAATTTAAACAATGAAGAACAGGGAAGAAAAGAAATATGAAAGGGAACAAAAGGAGGTGAACATGCTGATTCTCTCAAACCATTTAAGAGATACAGACACAAATAACCCATAAAACACAAAAGAAAACCTCGACAAAGACAGCCCTGATTGATTCATATCTTATAACTTCAAAGTGAAAGATTTGATGAAAAATCAGGGCCTGATCTTTGAGTTACCAATCCAAAATTAGGGTTGCGATTCAGTGTTGGGAACTTAAACCACAGTACATCAGGTAAAATCCGCATCAGTTGGATGAATGAGAGGCACGAAGAAATTGATCGATGTATAGCACTGAGTCCCCAGGAACTTACCCGGTTGTCCGTACGAAATTCGAAATCAATTGCGGATGCGATCCTCATACGCTGCGACACAAAATTGACATAAAATTTCAAAAATCCAAAGTTTAGATGCCGAAGAAAAGACTGTAAACCAAAACGAGAAAGCGGAATCTCACTGGGGTCCATATGCATAGGAATTCTCTGTTCACCAGACTCTCTCGTCATCGTGTCGAGACGGAATCGGCAGGCAAGAGTTCGTCGCAAAAGCCGATCGCATCCATATATCGGAAAATCTGAGGTTTGCTTCGGCCTCCCGGTGTCTGGATGCCGAGAAAACGGAAGAAATTGAGAAGAAAATGGCGATAGGAATCTAGTCGGCGAAGGCTAAAGCCTAAATTGCGATCATGTCGTCGCCGCAGAGGACGAAAAACGACATCGTTTCTCGTAACTGAGGACACTGTTTTCGCGCGCAATAAAAACGATATTTATGGGATGAAGTGCTAATTTTGGTCTATGGTAACTAGGGTGGCCATTTCGGTTATTAACCGAATAACCGAGCCGAACTGAATAAGATATAATCGTATTCGAACCGAATCCGACATCAAAACCGAATGGTTATGATTTACTTAAATCCGAAAAACCGAAACCGAAATGAACCGAATAAAAAATAACCGAAAAAACCGAGAGAATAACCGACATTTTCTTTGGAAAATTAAACTTTTTACCAAAACCGAACCGAACCGGAATTTATATAAAAACCGAATGGTTATAGTTTTCTATAACCGAAATAACCGAACCCGAATATAACCGAACCGAATCCGAACCGAAACCTGAATTGGCCACCTTAATGGTAACAATTTGAAATTGTTCGTAAGAAACGAAATATTTATTAAATAAGATTGCATTATAATTATTAGAAAGGATGAAATAATTACACCGTGCATTATAATTCTTTACCAAAAAAATATCAAAGGTAAAATAGCAAATTATCTTCAACTCAACTAGTTATTTCTCAAAACCTTTATAATATATATTCAAAAAATAATTGGTATTTACATTTTTTAAAAATAATTGACCAAATCATTATATATAAATATTTTTTATTTTGTTACATGTGTAATCTTCCATATATAGGCGGAACAATGTAATGTATTGCACGGAATGAAGGCACGCATTGATGATTCAGGACCACACGAGCGGGACGTAGCTTCAATCTTCTCTCGCTCGCCATCAATTCCATTCTTCACACCACTACCACTTTTCCCGAGCTTCTCTCCATCTGGAATCCTCCGCCGGGATTCACATCGCCGCCGGAGAAATACTCCTTACGTCCAGGTTTCTCGCCGGAGATGTCGCCGTTCGTAAAGTTTTATCTCTTCGCTTACAACTCCCTACAGGCCTGTGCTTGGTCTCTCTCTCTCTCTCTCTCGCTTCTTCGTTGGATATTCATGAGATTTTTGTCCGATTATGGTGATTTTTGTTTGGCAGGACGATTTCCCTTCTGAAGATCCTGAGCAGCGTTGTGTCGAGCAAGACGATAGACGGAGCTTACGCCTCTGCTGGAGACCTAATAAGTTAGTCAAATTTCTCATTCTTTATCGGTTATGGTTTTGATTTTTTTTTCCTGTAAATATTGGAGAATACAGAGATTTATGTGTTATTTTTGTTAGATTTTCCTCGATTGTGTTAGGAGTTTTAGTGTTCTACTGCAAGAAAACTGCAATTTGCAATGTATGTATAAACTTAGTCTTTGATCAATTTAACATAGCAACATTCCTTTGCAATTTGACACTAAATTGCATCAGCTACTGAAGTGAAGTGATGTGGGAATTCCACGGTTATAGCCTTATAGGTAGTAAGTTGGATTGATGAATTGATGGTTTCTGAAATGGCCCATGTTGTCTCTGGTTTTTGCTTGTTAAGGTGTGATACAAACTGTTGCTGTTGCTGAAGTTCTTCATGGAGCCATAGGTAATATACTGGTTGGATTTTTGTGATTTTTCCGGTTAATTTCCTTCTCTTTTGGCTTCATGGGTTCGTTCATTTCACCGGTTAGCGCTTCTATTCTATTTGCATATAAGGCATTGTTCCCAGTGGAGCTTTGTCTCCCTTGATGCAATGGAGTGGAAGAACACACTTCATTTTGGCAGTTGTTCGGCAGGTGAAAGAGGTTTGTGCTTAAAATTCTGCACCTATGAAGAACGCCTTCGCTGTCTTCAAGTTCGAAAAAAACTGGTCCTAGTTTCAATCCGTTGGTTTCAATTGCAGAAAATATTAAACATCTTAGGAGAAACTGCTACAGCGAAGATATTGGAGTAATTTAATCTTTTCATTGTTCTACAGGTCCAGGACTTGCCATGGTTGCCTATAACACTTGTTGCTTGGTGTCTAGGGGAGGTGAGTTTTTCCCTGCTTATGCTCCCCGAAAAAACTTATATAGTTTGGCTCTTATCATGTCAATCTTCCCAAACAAGTGCCTACAGGTTTTGACAACTTCGAGACACCTGAAAAGTAACATGTATCTGATTCAGTCTAATGAGAATAGATCTCGTAATATATTTTTTCCACGAGAATACGCCTTGAAATATCGGAATATCCATTGCATATGGTGATGTGCTGAATTCCAGCATCGGTCAATTCTGACATCTAAAGTATGTCTCTAAGCAATGTCAGTAGAAAGAAGGAAAGCAAATCGGAGGAATTTGTTGGAGGTAAATGATGTACTAACAGTTCTATCGTTTCGCTGAGCAATCTTATCGATGGAACTGGATGCAGATGATTAGATACCCTCACTATGCTTTCAATTGCTTTGGTAGATGTCCGTTTTGGCTAATCTATCTCAGGTACTGTCGAACTTTTATGTTGTTTTGGTATCATCAATATGCTATAACCTGCATGAAGAAAATGCTGGATTCAATTAATTTACGAGTTTATTTGCATCGCAAGAATTGAATTCCTTAGGATTCTGATTGGAAAACCTTGCGCCCTTTCCAGGTATACTGCATTCATTGTGAACTTTCCCCTCGGACTAGTCGGGGAAGGTGAGATGCATGATGTTCTCTGTTAGTTCTTGAGACAATTCACAAGATATAATCCATTCTGCGTTTTCTGTCGTTGACTTTAGCATGTTCTGCAGTGTGGATCATGTACCAAGCACTTCCATACATAAAGGACAGGAATCCCTATTCAAATTTCTTCAGCAATTTTCCGTTCACCTACTACGATTTCCTCCGGGTATGTTCATAATTCTTTTCCCTATCCCCCCAACGAGATCCTATCCGCACTAGAAGAAGCGTATCTTGGTAAATTCTTGCACAGCAGTTTAGCAGCAGCATCTATCCTGGGAATTAGTTGATCTCATTGGTTCATGTTGTCCTGTTATTATGCTTGTACGTACCCAGCAACCATATAATCTTTTATGCATGTCGGAATGGCACCTTCCCGATTTTTCATTCATACTAGGGCCGGTTATTTCAGTAATATGGAAACCTATACACATATATATATATATATACACACTTCTGGATACATGTTATAATTGTTCAATTTCCATGCTTACAGGTTGGCCTGATGATCTATCCATTCCTTTGGTTGAAGCTTTATCTTCATATGGTCAGACAAAGGAAGGCTAAGCTCGGGAGATCTGATCATGATAAACATGAGGGCAAGAGAAAGAGAATGTGAAGACTCTTTTTCATTGGTCCTCTTAACCAAATCATCTATCTATCTATATGCCACCTTTGATTTTCCCAGTGTTGGTTTCCTTCTTCGCCGAACTATTTATTCTCATTGTTTGTTGATTTATTAAATGTTTTCAAGGATTTATCAAGGAAAAATATTTGGCTTTGTTAAAACTAGAGATGTCAATTAAGCCCGAAGTCCGAAATCCGGCCCGAGTCCGCCCGAAAATTATAAGGACATGGGCTTATAAAAAATGTAGGCTCATTAAACTTCGGGCTTTCGGGCCTCGGGCCAAATGGGCTACGGGCCGGTCGGGCCGGGCCAGTCGGGTCTCGGGCCGGGCTTGAGGCCCGTTAATTTTTTTTTGTTTTTTCTAACCTTCTTTTCTAAACCAAAGTTTTACCTCTATACTTATAAATATGTGTGTCTAAATATATATATATATATATTTGAACCAAATGATGAACTTTTATATCTTGGTTCCAATTAAACTTTTTAAAGTGACGGGA